CAAAACGCGTCGAAATTCAAATTTCACAAAATTTCGACCCGCGATCGATCGTCCCAAAAGTCTTACTTACTTCGACCCGTGGTTGATCGCCTCGACAAGTTTACTCGAGTCTTCGACAAATAATAGTGCAAGCGATGTGAATTGTGGCGATCGGACGCGTCGACTCTCCGAATTGCAAAGTTTGTGCGCGCGGGAGTGCGAATTGTGCAAAAGGTCACCCTAAGGCTTAAAGGTCCTATAGGGACTCCTTTTGGGTTCTCTCATGTTGGTTTCATCCTTCTAAATGCTAGAAGTCGATACCACACACGCGGAACCACAAAGGAGTACAGAAGCGGGTTGAATTTCTAAAATGAGGCGGGTCCCATTTCTAAGGTTCTAAGATAGTCGAAGGGGGATCCCTAAGGCTAGATCCTAAACCCTAAGAGGAAGACTAGACCTCACTAAAAATGAGGTCAACAAAGCCCTAATTGTTGTAAGTTTTATCAAAATTAAGAACTCTTGCAAAGCCATTAACAAAATATTTAGAAGAAAATAAATAAGGGAAAGTTTTCACTGAAGTGAAGAAAATTAGGCCTAATGCTTATATATGGAGATTCCTAATGCCAAAATTAGGTAGTTGTACTTATGCCACACTCAAATTATATGCACCTTTAAATTCTACGCAAGTTTGAAAATTGGTATTAGAAATTTTATTCAACTAAGGGGTTCTCTTTAGCAGTTTTAATAAATCTTATAAATCCAAATTTAGTAAATCTCACCAACAACAGGATTTAGTAAATTTGGATTAAGGCAAAAATTGAATAGGAATTGAGGAGTTGGATTTACTAAATCTTGGATTTATGATTGCAAGTTTTTCTATTTGATAATATTTAAGTTAAACTTTTTTACTTAAATTCATTACCATTTTTTAGCACTGCATTAGGAATCTATTTATAATTATTTAATTTCCCTTAAAGAACAGGACATAGAATTAGACTGAAGAAGATGGAACAATTCGCAGCTGTAGGAGAAGGCATAACAAAGGAACAACAAATAATGCAATAAGTTGATTTCCCGAGAATATACACTACAATATGACATAATAGATTGGTTGTAAGAATAAATGCTATGGTTTCACAGGATTATAGGGGTGTAAAGGATGCTAAAGAACTGCATTAGAAAGCTTTATTATAGGATTTGCCAGAAGAAAATTCTGCCACAGGAATCGATTTGAAAACTTTTGCATTAATCTGCCAAATTTGAAGATCGAGGTGATTAGTCTCAATAGCTGGGAATAAAATTTTGAACATAATTATATCAAGACTTAAATTCCTTTTTTTTTTAATTTGTATTGTTATAATTGATTTTTTATTCCTGTTTATTGTATTTCTGATTGTTAATGCCTTGGTTTAGGCATGCAGTGTTACAAAATTTCAGACTTGGTAAGCATAGAAAATTGGATATTATGCTTTAAATATTTATATCATAAGTTGAATTGATAGTTGTTGTTCACTCGTTGTTGTTGGAATTAAAGTGTGGATTCCTTCTGAACTTTTTGTTGTTCCTATTCATCTATTCAAATCTGAGTCCATGCTTGCTGGCTGCTGCTTATGTTTAACTTTTCCTTTTTCCATACTTCTTATGCGGGCATTCAGTATTCCTTAGCTATTAATGTCTTTCAACCCTTTTTCTTTTTTCAATCTTTGCTGTGCAGGCTGTTGTGTTCTCAGATATTAGCTTAGATAAAGCTATTGAGTTTGATGATTTTTGCCGCAATCACCAACCCCCAATTGCTTTCATCAAATCTGAAATACGAGGCCTTTTTGGGAGCGTATTCTGTGACTTTGGTCCAACTTTTACTGTTGTAGATGTTGATGGAGAGGAACCTCATACAGGGATCATTGCATCTATCAGTAATGATTGCCCTGCGCTCGTGTCATGTGTTGATGACGAGCGTCTGGAATTTCAGGATGGGGACCTCGTTATATTTTCTGAAGTGCGAGGAATGGTAGAGCTGAATGATGGAAAACCACGGAAAGTTATTAACGCAAGACCATATTCTTTTGCTTTGGAAGAAGACACTACTGGATTTGGAACATACGATAGAGGTGGTATTGTAACACAGGTGAAACAACCCAAGGTATTGCAATTCAAGCCTTTAAGAGAGGCGTTGGGAGATCCAGGTGACTTTCTTCTAAGTGATTTTTCCAAGTTTGATCGCCCAATTCTGCTACATTTAGCGTTTCAAGCATTGGATGTCTTTCGGCATGAATTTGGGCGTTTCCCTACTCCTGGTTCCGAGGAAGATGCTCAGAAATTAATAAATTTTGCTGTTGTAATCAATGAGAGAATGCATAAAGATAAGATCGAGAATATCGATAGTAAACTTCTATATCAATTTGCAAGTGGCTCGAGAGCTGTCTTGAATCCTATGGCAGCAATGTTTGGTGGTATTGTTGGTCAAGAGGTTATGAAGGCTTGTTCTGGCAAGTTCCATCCCCTTTTCCAGGTTAGTATTTATAAGTATTTGATTTATCTATTTTTCTTTGGGGCATTTATATACATACCACTGAATTCCTATGTATTTGCATATCTAACACTCAAAACTTTAATTTTTACAGTTATACCTGAAATCTTTCATATCACATAAAAAATACCACTGTTTTAACTTTTCAAAATTGAAATGCACATTTTCGTGCATAGATAAGGTGGTGTATATGTAAAAATTGAAGTTGAGGTGTTAGATATGTGAGTGCCTAAGAATTGAGTGGCATGTATGTAAATCTTCCTTTTTCTTTAGTTTGTTCTGTTATGTTTTTGCGTGATATATTGTTATTCCTTTGATCTAACAAATGCTTGGCATGCCTGCTGTACAGTTCTTCTATTTTGATTCAGCAGAATCACTCCCTCCTGAACCTCTGGATCCTAGAGATCTAAAGTCATTAAATTCCCGATATGATGCTCAAATCTCAGTATTTGGAGCTAAGTTTCAGAAGAAAATGGAAGAAACCAATGCATTTATAATAGGTTCTGGTGCTCTTGGATGCGAATTCTTAAAAAACTTGGCACTAATGGGGCTCTGTTGCAGCCACAAAGGAAAATTAACAATAACTGATGATGATGTCATTGAGAAGAGTAACCTCAGTCGCCAGTTTCTCTTCCGTGATTGGAATATTGGGCAGGCTAAATCTACCGTGGCCGCCGCCGCCGCTACTACAATCAACCCTTTGCTTCATATCGAGGCTTTGCAAAATCGAGCGAGTCCCGAGACAGAAAATGTGTTCGATGATACTTTTTGGGGGAGCCTGGATGTTGTTATCAATGCCTTGGACAATGTTATTGCTAGGATGTATATAGATGGAAGATGTTTGTATTTTCAGAAGCCATTGCTGGAATCTGGGACCCTTGGTACCAAGTGTAACACACAAATGGTTGTGCCTCACCTTACTGAGAATTATGGTGCGTCAAGAGACCCACCATATGTGCACTGTTCACTCTTTCCCCCACAACATTGATCACTGCTTGACATGGGCCAGATCCGAATTTGAGGGCATGTTTGATAAGACGCCCAGCGAAGTGAACAAGTTCTTAGCTAATCCGAGCGAATACTATGCTGCTGTTAAGGCGGCAGGTGATGCCCAAGCAAAGGATCTTCTTGAGCATGTTGTGGACTGTCTTGACAAGGATAGATGCAATACCTTCCAAGACTGTGTCAGTTGGGCACGCCTCAGGTATATAGTTTTTATAGGAAATTTACATACATTTCACACAATTCTTATGTATTTACATATCTCACACCTAAACTTTCATATTTACATACAAAGACTATGCATGAAAAAGTGTATTTGACTTTTAAATAAGTGGTAATAGTGCTATTTTGATGTGATATTAAGGATCGGAGTGTGCGTGAGATATGTAAATGTATTAGAATTGTGTGTTATGTTTTTAAATGCCCCTTTTCCAAATTTCTTCTATCTACTTGTCAGCTTTTCCTGTTTTTCTGTCAAAGCTATCCTAACGGTAATGTTTGTTAACACTTGGCCTAGTTATTCAGCACTTTGAGATGGAGTGGAATACTGATCTGATTTTTCTAAGGGGCATTTACATACATACCACCTAATTCCTAAGTATTTACATATCTAACCTCTGAACTCTATTTTTTTTTACATTAATATCACCCAAATCTTTCTTATCACATAAAAAGTACCACTATTTTAACTTTAAAAAAGTGAAATGCACCTTTTCATGTATGGGTAAGGTGTATGTATAAAAAGTGATGTTAAGGGGTTAGATATGTAAATGCATAGGAATTAAATGGTATGTATGTAAACCTTCTTTTTTTTAATTGCTCCTTAGTACACCTGTCCAATCAAACTAAAAATAGTTTGATGTCACGCACTTGCACTGTGCATTTTATGAATGGCTTTGTTTTTATTTTGAGCTTTTCTCGTTGTTGTCTTATTTATCTCTAGAAGATTTTGGCTCTTTTATTATCTATCTTTTGAGTGGTGATGATTTAGATATTTAGATTAATATGATTTTAATTATGTATTTAAATTTTAATTTTTTTCAGAATTAACAATCTATTGTTATCTATCATTTGCATGATGATTATATTATAATAAATATTGGGGAGAACAGCTATGCCGCCAGTTGTTGATATGTTGAGTTGAAAGTCTTATGGAAGATCTAGGCAGAACTTGTTTGTTGAACTTTCTTTACTTTATTTGGTATATTATTTTGATCTTTAAAGTAGGATCTGATAATATTCCAATAGGAGTGTGGAAATATGTAGGAGATTTGAGAATTTCTAGGTTTATTAAATTTTTTAATATTAATTTAAAAACTAAAAAGATGTTGACGAGTGGAGAAAAAGTCTATTGATTTCTATTTTTAAGAATAAAGAGGGGGCACAAAAGTTCAAATTATAGAAAAATTAAGTTAATATGTTAGACATTAAAGTTATGGGAGAGAGTAATTGAACATAGACTACGATGTGATACAAAAATTTCTCAAAATCAATTAGGATTCATGTTGGGCAAGTCTACTAGGGGAGTTATACATTTATTGAAAGGTTTGATGGAGAAGTATAGATGGTAAAGAGGATTTACATATGATTTTTGTTGATTTGGAAAAAGCTTTTGATAATGTTTCAAGAGAAGTACTTTGGAGTATTTTAGAAAAGAAAAATGTTTTTATTACTTATATTCAAATCATTAAAGATATGTATACTATAGTTATTACTTGTGTTTGAACACAAGGAGGATTGGTCAACTATTTTTCTATTTCAGTTGGATTACATCAAGGATCAGTTTTAATCCCTTATATATTTACTTTAGTTAAAGATGTTTTTACTGGACATTTATAGGAGGATGTACCATGGCGTATGGTTTTCACTGATGATTTCTTGCTTGTGGATAAGATTAGAGAGAGGGAGAGTTCAGTAAAAACTTTAATTATGGTGGTCAACTTTAGAGTCTAAAGGCTTTTGTTTGAATAGATCTAAAACTGAATACATGCAATGTAATTTTAGTAGTAGTATATCTAGTGACGGGATTGTAACGATGAGTGATCAAGTCACTAAAAAGAGTGAATGTTTTAGATATCTCGAGACTTGCTCAAAGTGATGGTGATATAGATGAGGATGCTTTTAGTAGAATTCAAGTTGGTTGGTTGAAGTGGATGAATGCATTGAGCCTCTTGTGTGATATAAAAGTACCTCTTAGACTTGAAGTAAAATTTTAAATGGTGGTGAACCTGCAATGCTTTATGAAGCAGAATGTTAGCCTGCAAAATAGAAGCATAAAATTAAGTTAAGCGTTGTTGATGTGAGAATGCTCAGGTGGATGAATGGCTTTACGCTTAGAGAATAAATTCAAAATGAATATATCGATGAAAGGGTTGGAGTAGATCCAATAGCAGACAAGATTAGAGAATCACCTTAGATGATTTAGTCACGTTAAATGTTGACCATCGAATGTCCCAGTTAGGAGAGTAGATGTTTTTTATCCGACTTACGTTAAAAAAGATAGAGAAATACATACAAAGATTTGGTCATGTTGGTTAAAAAATATTTTTAATTTATTAGAATTAAATGAAAATATGACGTGCAATATGACATAACAGAGAAAAAGCATGCATGTAACGACCTCACTTAGTGAGATAAAAGTTTGCTATTGTTGTTATTTTTTGCTTTTATTTTAAAAATTATATTTGTTTAGTGTATTTTTTGCATTTTTTTCATTTCAAAAATAAATTAGGTAGTTTTAAAAATTACTCAAGACATGTAAAAATTATTTGAATGTTTTTAAAAACAATTAAACTTATTATAACATATCAAATATGTTTTATTTCAAGTAAAAATATAAACAAAATAAAATAAATAATGAAAAGCAAACATTAGAAGTAACCCCAAACGGCCCTCTTAATTATTGCATGTTTTCAAGCACTATTAAAATTTGCATAAGCTAAATTTTTTACATGTTTGTATCCCAGGTTTGAAGATTACTTCTCCAATCGTGTGAAGCAACTAACATTCACTTTCCCTGAGGACGCTGTTACAAGCAGCTCCACACCATTTTGGTCTGCACCAAAACGTTTCCCCCGCCCATTGCAGTTCTCAACCAGTGATGCAAGCGAACTTAACTTGATCATGGCTGCTTCTATATTAAGAGCAGAGACGTTTGGAATTTCTATACCTGATTGGGCCAAGAACCCAGAGAAATTGGCTGATGCTATCGATAAAGTAGTAGTGCCTGATTTTGAGCCTAAGAAGGGAGTAAAAATTGTTACTGATGAAAGTGCTACAAGCTTGTCGACAGCCTCCATTGATGATGCCGCTGTCATTAATGAGCTTGTTGTGAAACTGGAGGAGTGTGCGAAGAGGCTACCACCTGGATTCCATATGAACCCATTACAGTTTGAAAAGGTACTTAAAATGAAGAGTGAAATGTCAAAATAGTCGTCTGACTTATTTTTGGGGTTCATTTTAATCCCAGAGCACATAAAAGTGCCAAATTAGTCCCTATATGGATTAAGATAGTTACCAGGGAGGACTATTTTAGCCCCAATTAAAAGAGTTGGGGATTGAATTGATACTTTTCTAGACTCTAGGTCTAAGATGTACCCTTATAAAGAGTTATAGGACCTTTTTTGCACTTATCTTGAAATAAGTGTTAGCACTTGTTTGTTAAGTTCCATTATGTCTTGAACTAGGTCATGCTTCAGCTTACATTTTCTTGATTTGAAAATGAAATTATATCTGCATCGCGGAAATGTTTGCTAGGTATGAAATGGTGAAATGGCCTCGTTAGTGATAATTAGTGATAATTTTTTTTTTTTTCCCTGAGTATACTCTGAAAATTCAATTCTAAGGTATTATGGGAGTCTGCTTCATTTGATATCACCGTCACCTTCAAATTTTAAAAAAATCTAGCAATTATGTGTAGGAAATTTTCTTCCACAGATTGGCTCATGTTTAATGTCTATAGAAGTTGATCATTGTAGGTGTTCTTGTTAATTTCACTTCTTATTTTGCTATTTATATGATATTTTTCCAGGAATACCTTTGAGTTTTGTGAATTGAGCTATTTGTTTAGCGGTTTGATATTTCCATTTGGATGCATGGATTCTTATTATTCAGCTTAATTTGAATCTCTTTTTATGTATTTTACATTTCTAACTCATAAACTTCAATTTTTTACATTAATACCACCAAAATCTTTCATATTACATCAAGCAATGCGATATTTATACACACCTTTTTTTTTTCATGCTGTGAAATGTACTCAGGATGATGACACTAATTTTCACATGGACTTCATAGCCGGACTAGCCAACATGCGGGCTAGAAACTACAGCATTCCGGAAGTAGATAAACTGAAAGCAAAGTTCATCGCTGGGCGAATCATCCCCGCCATTGCCACGTCCACCGCAATGGCCACCGGTCTGGTATGCCTCGAGCTCTACAAAGTCCTCGCTGGCGGTCATAAGCTGGAAGACTACCGCAACACCTTCGCGAACCTCGCCCTTCCCTTGTTTTCCATGGCAGAGCCCGTTCCTCCCAAAATAATCAAGCATCAGGACATGAGCTGGACTGTCTGGGACCGTTGGATAATCGAGGGGAACATCACCCTTCATGAGCTTCTTCAATGGCTCAAGGACAAGGGGCTTAACGCCTACAGCATTTCTTGTGGAACTTCCTTGCTTTACAACAGTATGTTTCCGAGGCACAAAGATAGGATGGAGAAGAAGGTCGTGCAGATTGCCCAGGATGTGGCGAAGTTGGAAGTGCCACCATATCGGCGGCATCTGGATGTTGTGGTGGCTTGCGAGGATGATGATGATAATGACATTGATATCCCACTGATATCGATTTACTTCCGTTGATCCTCGGCCTCTTTGTGCATCTGTTGATGTACTTCTTTAATACCTGACTCATCCATTATGTCGTCTTCTTCCGTGTTATTTGACGGATCGAAGATGCACTTTATTTCTTTCAAGTTTTTAATGGTGCTTCATTTCTCTTGAATGAGTTCTTTGATACTGTGCTTGTACATTATTCGCCTTGATATACTTCCATCATTTGCATTTTCTCTTGATTGTTATTTGTAGGGTTGCTCAATTTGTAATTTTGGTATAATGATGTCGATTACATGAAAAAAAAAAAGCTGTTTTTGGGATTATGTAATGGGGGTAGGTAGTCTACCGTGAGATTTGTCAAATGATGTGTTGGTTTCAACATAATAAAGTTGACCTCAAGAGATAGGAGATGGAAAAGGTTACGTCAAATTAAGATTATAGGGGTTCTAGAGAGAGAGAGACCATGGACAAAGAAGTGCTTAGTGAGAAACTTCATATTTACATGTCTAGCAGTAAATTCTTTAATATTACATAAAAAAAAAAAAAATTTCACTTCTACTTTTTAAAAATGAAACATCACATTTTCATGCATAGGTTTATGATACTGAAGTGTTATAAATGTAAATATTAAAGTATAGGTGTTTTATATGTAAAATACATAAGAATTGTGTGGTATGTATGTAAATTTCCCAAAATATATTTGTCAACCAAGGCTTGTTAATTTGCGGCGCAGCGTGTTGAGTTTCTTTTTTAATGCTTGGGAAGTCGATTGACAATGAGCTGATTTAGGTTTTTATTAGTTGGCTTGGACAAATAGATGTTCTCTAATATTTCTTGTGTCCTTCGCTTGGCTGGGAATTGGGAATAATGACAACAATTCTGTTTGCCCAAGGCCAGTCACTAGATCAGGAAGAGCTTAAAAAATATGGCAAATTTATTTATTTTATTTTTATTATCATGAATGCATCAGTTGATACGACAATAATCTAAGATTTATAAGTATTGGAATTTAAATTGAATGTAATAATTTTTTTACTAGCTGAAGGTCTGCATTTTTTTTATCGTTCTTCAATGTATTTTCTATGATAAATTTGTTTTTATTATCATAATGCCTACATTTATGATACCAAGATATTATAAGTCACCACAACATCGAATTTTGACGGTTAGATATGTAAATTTATAAGAAATGTGGGGTATGTATGTAAATTTGCCTTGTTTTCAAATCTATTTAAGAATAGAATGATAAAAACAAATAAACAATAGGAAAATAAACATCATTTTAATTGAATTGTTAGGCACATTAGGATTGATTGTTGACATCCTCGGTGTACGACCCCTTGGGTTCAAATCCCCTCTAACGCAATTGACCTTAAGAAGACGGTACTTGAATTGGCACATTAAGATTGATTGGAGGCTTGTATAATAGTTTTAGGTCGTTCTTATTTATATATATAATATGATGAGCAGTATTTTACAGATTTTAATTGACAATTGGGTTACAAAAAATTATAATTATTTAAAATTATTGATTAAAAAATTAGAAGGAAAATATATTAAATTAGATTTGAATGATATTTTAATATAAATAATAAGATTTAAATCTCATCCAAATCTTCAACATCCTAAAGTTGCGTGACTAGACACTTTGTTCGTGAACAACTCATATTCGGCTCGCTAAACAAACAAGCTAAACGCGAACATATTTTTTCTGTTTAAAATATAAAGGAGGCGAACACAAGCAGTTGCATTTTTTAACAAGCCGAACACGAGCCGAGGCTAGGCTCGCTCTTACTTGGCTCGTTTACATCTCTACTCATGATTCATGAATAAGTCATGAATTTCAATCATTTTAAGTGAGATTTTTACATAACTACCACCCAAAATATTGAATATATCATTTTAACTACCCAAATTTTAAATATACATTTTAAGCATTTTTTTAGTGGGTAAAGGAGGATGTTTGTAATGAAAAAATGATTAAAATGTTATGTAAAAATTTGGGTAATATAAAAAAAAAAAAGGTTAACAGAACCTCCACCGAAGATGAATGAAGGTTCATGTAAGCCGCTTAAAGCTAGCATTGCCATGACGCATCAACCCAACGCCTCTGAGTATGATTGGGAGTCTGCATGTGATGTGCTTATCAATGTAACAATGCTTGCTAGTAATAATTTATTGCCAATCATCAATAATATACATGACTCCTCTCATTGAAATTGTGGGCTTTTGTTAATGATATATTACCAATCATCCATAATAATACTCTAAAACATCATCATGCCTGACTCATGTCCAAGGCTGTGCCAAAGTTAACTTTTCATACTCATGGATGATATTACTCCGACATGTCTCTATCCTATAATTATGCTGTATTGCTTAAATATAACCTTAGCAATTAGATTAAACAAACGTACGTAATAGCCAAGAGAAACTGCCATGCCATATTATTAACATGGCAAGGCGCATTTACATGCATACCACTCAATTCTTATGTATTTATATGTCTACCACCTAAATTTTACTTCTTACATTATACCACTCACATCAAAAAATGCCACCGTATTAATTTTAAAAAGTGAAACACACCTTTTCAAGCACAATTAAGGCGATATGTAAATACATAGAAATTGCATGTAAGTCTTCCAGAAAAAAAATTCAAGCAAATCATTATTAAAACATATTAAACATTACACTTGTATGTATGTATGAATGTATACGTATCTATGTATATGTGTGTGTGTATAGATAGATAGATAGAGAGAGACTTTAATATCAGCAAACAAGACATGGGTAAAAAAAATAAGCTCTTATATCCTAAATTACATTTTTATTTGGTGCAAAAAAAAAGGGGATTAGCTAATGACCACAACCTGAAAAAGAATAGTAAAGGAAAAAGGAAGGTGGTGTAGTAGCATCAAGGAGATGGACGCCAAAAACTTTTTTTGGCAACAAGAAACGTACCCTTGTGGATGGTAGTAGCCCAGTGAAGTGTCTGCAACATGGAGTTTAGCTTCTTAATCATTTTGTCAGTCTCTTGAATTAAAACCCATCCGTCGGGCCTCAAAATTCGATCCATTTCTATAACAACATCTACGAGGTCACACCTACATGATAGAAGGCAAGGCTGAATTGGTTACAGGGCAGAAACAGTATTGATTGTGGCAAAAAATGTTGAGTTACTGGAAGATTTACATGCATGCCAGTCATTTCTTATGTATTTACACGCCTAAACTTCAATTTTTAAATGTTCGCCACCCTTCCTATGCATAAGAAGATGAATTTCATTTTTTTATAAGTTAAAATAGTGATATTTTTGGTGTGATGTGAAATATTTGGGTTGTATGAGTGTAAAAAACAAAGTTGTGTTAGATATCTAAATAAATGAAATTCGGGTTGCATGAATGTAAATGCCCATAAATTATTATACGTTCATAATTATCAAATTATCTCACAACTACCATGGTTGGATGACTTGGGGCCTATTAGAGATCAATTTTTACTTTTATTTTTCTTTTAATTATGTTTAGTTGGTATATTTTTCATATGCTTTTATTTTTTAAATTTTAAAACAAATCAGCTTGTTATTAAAAACACTCCAAACAACTAGTTTTAAAGTTGATGACCAATTTTAAACATACCAACAAATTTTATTTGAAATCAAACCATAAGTAAAACAAAAAACATATAAAGGTGATCCCAATCAGGCCCATCACTTTATTTTTTGTTTTCATTTTATCATGTTCATGTTTGTTTTTGAAAATAAAATATGTTTGACATGACTAAATAAGGCATGATTGTTTTAAAAAAATGCTCAGAACACTTAAAAATTATTTTCAGTATTTTTAAAAACAAGTTGGTTTATTTAAAAAATAAATAAAATCATGTAAAAAATACACTAAATAAACATGATTTAAAAACAAAAATATAAATAAAAAGTAAAATATGATCCCAATCAAGCTCTTAAAATTTTGGATGGCTACAGATGAAAAATAAAAATTTTAAAAATGATACCTCTTTGAAAGGCTGCCAAATAGAAAACTGGAGTGCAGCAGATCATATGTTCTAGGATACGTGTTAAATGACTCACACCAATCATGATATATTCCAATTAAACCTCTATCAAAGATGATGGGCAAAGTATTCGGTCCATGGATGGGCACAACGTTCATTACCCACACAGGTTTTTTGACTAGCGCTGCAGCAAACCTGTAAGGATAGGGAACAAAACTATAGATTAGAAAACTAGCATTAAGAAAGAAAAGTTAAATGTGATAATTACAAACATAGCGCTTGAAATATTGCTATGTACAAAATTAGCGCACAGGCGGCTTGCTGAAAAAGCGAGCAGATGCATTTACGAGTTTTGTCCCGTGCAAGTATCCTTAAGAAATCAAGTATCTATCACTTCTATCAAATATGGCAGTGAAACACAACTCATTCAAGAGGATGGGAAAATATGTTTCGATCAGACAGTTTTTGCAGAAAGGAAACCTTAAGATATTAGTTAAATATGTTTTCTTAATGAAATAAAATGGAAAAAAAAAAGGTAAAAAATTGATTATTCGGGATTCTATATTAACTCCTATTTGTACATCCATGCAGCTCTCAGATTACTACAAAAAAAAATTACTTTTTCTTGTGTGGAAGAAGGAAATCTGCAATCTTTTTCCCTCTCCGCATACCTAATTCTCAAACTGCAGAACCTAGAGATGTAGCACACAATCTGTACAAGTAAGAGATATAGAACACAAAGTAACCGATTTCAGATATGATGTGGAACAACACATCACTCTGACACATATGGATGCTTATTAGAAATTGCTGATTGCCTACAGAACTTTTCCCAGAACTCAAGAATAGAATTTTCCATCACGCATCAATCAGAAGTTGTTAAAATGTGCGATTGTTGTCTTCAAACAAAATCATTTCTATGCTGGGCTTATCATTTATCATAAAGCCGCCAGTCTTCTCTTTTTTCTTCGTTTTCTGGCACTACTCATGTAAAAAAGATTATTACTTATGACGGGAAGTTAAAATACTACAACTAAAGGAATCGAGTGTATTCGATGAGCAAAGAAAAACTGGCCACACAAGCTATGTGCCTAATTACAGCAGAGTATCTCTACAAATTCAAATTTCAAATTAAAAGTTGATAACGGCTAGAACTTTCAAACTCTACCATTGATAAAACGTTGACACAAAGAAATAAGTCAAACATTGACAAAGGAAATGAAAATAAACTGCACAAAAACAATAAAGCTCATGAGGATTTGTTAGGAGTTATGATAGGAAATAATTTATTCTTATAAATAAATTATTTCCTTAGAATTAGAGTTATGATAGGAAATAATTTATTCTTATAAATAAATTATTTCCTTAGAATTAGAGTTATGATAGGAAATAATTTATTCTTGTAAATAAATTATTTCCTTAGAATTAATGAGATATTTATTTCCCTATTTTACGTTATTTCCTATATCTCCTAATAATTAATGCGAATTAATTATTAGAGATATTAAGTGTTATACCCTTCCTTTCATATCATTTACCTTTTATTATTTTTCCTTTTACAAGATTATTGTAAGGGTTATTTATAACCTTATTCATATTAATGAAAATGTGCGTATTCCACCACATTATTCTGAGTTTTAACATGGTATCAGAGCAAACACGATTCTGAGTCTTACCATCTCCTCTTCCACGCAAAAACCCCATCTATCTTCTTTCTAAGCCAAAACACATGGCAGACGAAACTCAAAATTCAGCAAAACCTGAATCTAGCAAATTCAATAATCCGAACGACCCCTTTTTTCTCCACTACTCAGATCAACCCGATCTCGTGCTTGTTACGCAACCGCTGAATGGAGAAAACTACAATTCTTGGAGTCGTGCCATGTTGATGGCTCTCAACATCAAAAACAAAGAAGGTTTTGTCAACGGCACCGTCCAAGAACCACCAGAGACGTCCACCGCAGAACTTCAACAATGGAGGCGCTGCAACAACCTTGTCAAGGCATGGTTGTTTAATTCAATTGCAGAAGACATTGGAGCAAGTATAATATATAACGACAGTGCCCATGAAATCTGGCTCGACTTGAAGGAATGTTTTTCTCGTACCAACAACGTTCATATTTTCCATGTCGAAGAAGCCATCCACGATTGCAAGCAAGGCGATATGACAGTTGGAGCTTATTACACCAAGCTCCAAGGTTTATGGGATGAACGTGACGCCCTCCATAACATTCCTAAATGCACGTGTGGTGTCATGAAGGAAGTGATGCAGTTTCAGCAAAACCAGAAAACCATGAAATTTCTCATGGGGCTTAATGAAACATACACTAGTATAAGAGGACAAATTTTGCTCATGGATCCCCTTCCCAATGTCAGCAAAGCACATTCTCTCGCGCTCCAAGAAGAAAAGCAACGCGGCATGAACAATGTAAATGTG